GGGATGGAAGGCTTGGTTGGCCCGGGCGACTCACGACCCAGGATTTGATCCCCGGACCGCTCGCGTGGTGAGCGTGCCACTTGCCACTACACCACTTCCGCCCACTTACCTGGCTGGGGGCGTCCCGCGATCATGAAGGCGGGACCCCCATGGTGAGGCCCATGCATTGTCGGATGAAAATTATGCTTCAATAATGTAAAAGGTGAACCACGATGAAGCATATCCTCGGTGGGGTAATGGTTAGCACAGCCCGGAGAGTGCGAACAGCGGGGTTCAGGCGCTCTCCGAGACACGAAGTGTTTAGCTCATAACTAAGAACCCTTGCGACATTTTTCTTTCATTTTCAAGAGCAAATTTTCGGATTCAGAATAAGAAGTTTCAATAGATAGGAAAGTTAAAAAAAACCATTCAGTTCAGAAAATGAAATAAACAAACCTCTTCGAGGAACTTCGTGACGTCGTAGACCTTATTGCCTATCACGAACCACGTGGACTTGTTGGTGTTATGCTCGGCAACATCTTTCCTAGTGAGCTTCGTCACCATCTTACCTGTAACCTCACCAGTTGACAAAATCATAGTAAAACAACATGGTAAACATCGACGATAAACAGAAACAGTTAGCTATCATGAAGCTGGGAAGGTAGAGTGAGATGGGGCTGTCTTTTTTGCTGAAAATTTTCCTATGTTGGGTTAGCGAGGCATCACGAGTATGATACATTTTTTGGTGCTGGCGCCAAATTGCACCGTTTTAGTTCAACCTTTGTTTTCACAGGATACGCTCTAAGCAGAGTATGGTGGTAATTCGATCCGGATCACGAATACGAACTCATTTTTAAGTAGGTCAGAGCTGTTTACCTGCTTCCCTCTCACTTATGCATTGCGCTCAGGCCTAATCCTGAAGTGGGAAGCGGCTCCAGAGGTCAGAGTGGGTAAGTCACTCATCTGTGGTCTCAGCATACTGCAAAGTTTACCCGACGGGGAGTAGCACAACCATCCTGGAACCCTCCCCTCGCTACGCCTAGAGCAAAATGTAACCCGATCGAAGGAGGAGCAGGCGAAAAAAGGAGCTGAGTGGTGCTAGTGCCAAAATGAGGAGTGTCATATTCGGGATCGGAACACCATAACCCTTACACAAAAGCATTTACCCGAATCTGGTGAAAGCAGCAAGGGCGCCATCGTGGCAATGATTGCCATTTTGTGATCAGGAGCCTTCATAACTCTCACAGGAAACGTTTTAGCGAAGAAATTCTGCTCCGTTTCAATCCCGCCCCCAGAGTTGTTATAGTGCAACCAAGTGCCAAAAAAGAAGCCACATAAACCGAATGTTTGATCGATAATCAATTCTTGATGAATCGTTCTCGAAATTTTAAAATTGAAGCACGTTTTGGAGATGGTCATAGATAGACATCAAGAGGCGAACCTATAGTTAGTGGATGAAAAACAATGCTACGGTCAGAATAGTTAGATAGAAAGAGGTCACATAACTGGTATAGCGATCACTAATTTATAGAAACTAGATATTATGATGCAGTTATTAAAAGTAAGTCTAGATAAGTAAAATGCGTTCGAGCATCAATTGTGCTTCAGTTCTACCATACCACCATCGATTGATGAAAGCCCAGGTCCTTATCCAAGAAGGGGTGCATGTGTGCAACACTTCATGCGGCCTAGAGTAGTCCATTTTTTTGCAAGGGAACGAAGTTCAGGATTTGTATTAGGTTGGCAAAGAAAGTTCTGCGACACTCTTTCCAAAATTTTCTTTTTTTTGAAAAATCAATAGGTAACATTTATGACTAAAATGGTAGAGCATTCTCGAGGCTTCAATCCACGAGGTGGATATAAGTGCTGCAGTCAGTAGTTATCCAAGAAAATTCAAAAACCCCGACCACTAGTAAATCCGTACTCCGAGTCACTGTCTAGTACAAATGTCTACAAACTATGGATTCGTGTCAACGACTGACACTATCTGCAATAGCTTCTAAGGCATGCCGTTCAGCGCTACAGCGTGTTTCACCTTTACCAGCGCTTTCGATCTTTTGATATTTTTATAAGGCCAGCAGCGTCCCTCACACTCCATTACAGGAAGGGCTCTTACGGAAGCTCATTTACAAATTCTTCGTTATGGGCACCATTGTGTAGGTAGAGGTCTATGCTGCGAAACTCCAGAAGTTGGTCGAGGCAGCTCGTCAGGAGCCCTCGTACCGCGAGTCCGGTAAAAAATTCGTGGACCTGCGGCAAGATTTCTTACCTCTATCAGCATATTCTCCTGGTCGAGCTATAATGACTGCCACCCATCCTAGACTTTAAATCAGCATCTTGATGACGAAATAATTAGACGATCAACTCCAACTCGGAAGTGAGGTCGCCTCCTTTCTCGACCCACACTCGCTGGGTTTTGGCAAAGGAGCATCAAGAAATTTTTTGAGCGTTGAAGACAAGTGGAGGACACTCATGGTAGATACAAGACCGGTCAGGAGTTGTAAACAAAAAAGATAAAATTAAAAACAAAAATTTGAAAAGTGTCGCAGAACTTTTGCGCAACATAATACACCGCGGTGCACAATAGATTGCACCCCATAGAAAACTTAATTTTCTTGAGAGCCCGGAAACTTTTGTTGCTTCTGCCTACACTATAGTTTAGAAAATAGACGAAGGAATAATATCTGTGATATTTATTTGACATTACGACTTTTTTAAAGTTTGTGACAACAATTTTTCACTTTTTGAGCCGGTGCATAATAGATTGGACGATATGTATTGTGGATCAAAAAACAAGACGTAAAGTCTGCTCCTCCCACCTAAGTATGAGCAAAGGGTCCTTCTTCTCTGTGAGCTTAGGGCTGGAATCAGATTTTAAATCAGCGCATTCTAAGCAGCAGAGGCGGTAGAGTTTTCCACTCCTTTGTAATGCCTTTTCTTAGCGGTTGAACATTGTCATACGCTGTCCCATTTCAGTAGATCTTACGCATCAGTATACCCTATGTATTCCCGATAGGTTTGTATCAGGATTACATGCCGGCGAAGAAAATAATGGGTTGGTATTAGATTGAAAGTGGGACAGAGTGCTTCACGAAGTTAGGTTCGAAGTGTTCTTTTGCCCGAAGATGAAGTGCTTTTTGAAGTCTCAAGAAACGAAAGGTACCAGCGTGATGTTGAGGAGTGACTGATAGTTCTGGCTTCTCATTCACAAGAATCAAAATGAATCTCAAAGGCTACCATCACTAGAGGATGCCCAGCAAACCATTTAGGAGAAGGCACCGGCGTGCTTCGAGGCACCAGTAGTGGTTCACTTCTGCAAGAGCGCCAGTTCGAGTGCCGTTAGCACGACTCATCTCCGCCGACCAAAATGTCATCGAAAGAAATTACCGTAGGGAAAATAGAAATGAGAAATTTAAATTTAGTATAAAGCTGGAAGTGTGCCCAGAACACTCCGCTGCCAATTTTT